ATATTAAGAAAACTTAGAGAACTTTTTCATTAACTTTTATTATTTGTTGCTTCTCTTGAGTTTTCAAAGTAATTTGTTATATTGTCTGCCAATATGGGCAATCTCTGAATCCCCTCCTATCACCTGAGTTACTGCTCACAAGTTTATTGTTCAGCTCTGTCTCTTTGCTTGAAATCACTCCCACTGGAAACTGTATTTAGCTTAATTTTAAACTTGATTTAACTTAATTGTATTTTTCATTCTCAACATTTCCAATGGTTTCTTATTTATATACTTGTTCCTGTATTATGTTCAAAAACTTCTTTATCATTTTAGGAATTTAAAAGTTTTTTTTCTTAAGTCTTAACCTGTCAGTTCTACTAAATTAGTTATTTTTAGTATTAGTTCTGGCTTTTTAAAAATTATTATTGTTCTTCTCATTAGGGCGCTTACATTCCTCAGAATTTGTTATGAATAACTTGGCTAGGTGATGTTCCTGGAGGGGAAGGTGAGACCCAACCCCTGGCCTCAGCAACTCCAGGTGGACTGAGGTGGTGCGTGCAAAGCGGATGCCCATGACAGAATTACAATCTATACTCATCCCTATTTCTGTTCTCCCTGCAAAAGACCTTGTCTGCCCCAGACACTGCTGTTACCAAGATCTCCAGCCCTGTTTCTTGCCTCCTTAGTCCATAGACTAGGGATTTGAAGGACAGAGGGGGAAACACTCAGTGTTTTGTTATTTAATTTGTCTGTCACTTAGTGATTGCAGGCTCCCCTTTCCAGCCCAGCCCCCTTTCACCACTGCCCCCTCCTGGCAGTGGGCTGGAACTGGGTAATGAGGAAGGAAACAGACAAGCAAAATGAGAGAAATGGTACATCTAGAAAGCTTTTCCCAAGTCTGTCCCCTGTCATGGTCCCTTAGCCTTCCCTTACACAGATCCCAGACACACAAACCTAAACTAGACCTCAAAAGTCCCATTGCGCTGAGGGTTTCCCATGGGTTTTTTCTGTTAGAGTTTGATAAAACTCAGCATCTCCTCAGCCACTTTCTTGACCTAGAGCAGCTCCAGTGCTGGATCTAGGAGAGAGGACCAGTAGCCAATGCTAGTTGCTACCTTGTCAGGAACCCATTAAATTTCCCTTTTCTCCCATGTTGAAGCTAATGGTTATATTCACACACACACACACACACACACACACACACACACTAGCCCTCAATGTCTTATTAGTACATAGCTTTAAAAGTTGTTTTCAAAGTTCTTTTTATATGGTTATTACGATTATCAGCTCTTATAAGTACAGTACACCTCTCCAAATCCAAATCCCCTAGTATTAAGTTGTTAGGGGATAAAAATAAAAATAAATGTTCCTTTTCATTTAAAAAACAACCACAATAAAAAATAAAAATCAACCCTAAAATTAAATGTTCTAAGAGCTTTCTAGGTGCCAGGTGTTACTGTATTTTCACATATTATACTGTATAATCTTCACATGTAATAATTCTATTAAAATCCATTTTACAAGGAAGAAATTAAATAGAAGGATCCTTAGAAAAAGCGTCTAAGATAAAATCAGCGGGAAGTGGCAAGAGCCAGGGTTGAAACCATCAGTCCTTTTTTACTTTCTGCCTGGCCTTTGTGTGGCTTCTAGGCATTCTAGATCCAGATTATGTTTTTTAACATTTATAATATTTATGCAGGGGATACAATTGACTCAAAATACCTTAGAATGCACTTTTACTTTTTTTAAGGCCATACAATATATATACTACCCAACTACCGAGTGGAAGAATAATTTCTCTGAAACTAGATAAACAAATGAAAATCTTTTATTGCATATCCAGATATCCATCCAGCTCAGGGAGTGCTTCTGGAGCTCCTGATGCGATCCCCCGCAGTCCTTTAACATGGTGTCTGGGACGGTTCATACCAGCACAATAAAAGGCAACTCACCCTGTAGCCAATGTTATTTTACAAGAAGACCATAAAATGATGTTGGAATGTGATGAAAGGGGACTACTTGCAGCAAGTTTTGTGGTGGAGATGTTTTCTAAAATCATGCTGTAGTCTTCTCCTAAGGCTTAGTTTATTTCTCACAGCAAAATAGATTTCTGCTCTTAAGGTTGAGAATGACCCTGATGTTGAAACCTTTACCCTTTTATATTGTATTTCTTATTAACCAAGCTTATATGAGAACTCAAAATCTAAACCTAGTAATTGTTAATAATCCCAGAACCTGTATTCTTTAAATCAGTGTTTGTTTTAATTTAATGGAAACAGCACTGATACTTAATTACAAATACCTACTGAAAGTAGATACAACTCAAGTTGGGTGCTAATTTACTCTCTGGAGTTCCAGCCCCCTAAGATATGTGTGCAGAGTGTATAAATATTAGTACAAATAGGAATCTTTTAAAACATCACTTCTAATGATTTAGAGAGAAACATGCACTCAACTTTTATTTTCTGACTGTTGTACTTCAGCAATTTAAACTTTAGAAAATTAGCTTACAGCTCATCTGCAGAGAAAATCTGGCCATCTACAGGAGGTATAAACAAGATCATTGAAACAAGGTAAAAGATGATTGAGAATGGAATGTTCAGCAATATCAAGTGTAGAATTTGGTTTCCAAAAGTGGGAGGAAACACAGTTCAGAGTGTCTGCTGTTTATGTTGTATGTATTAGAAAGATTTAGGCTATGAAGAATTCTCAGAATTAAAAAAAAGAAAAAGATTGCCATACATAAAATGCAGAAAGAATATTGCTTTTCCATAGCAATGTGCTAATTTAGCTAACATAATGAAATAAAGACTCTTTGGGAGGTTACCTATTCTAAATCCCACAGTAAAAATTACAGAATCAGTCTTTAAAGAACTAATTGAGTATAGAGAAAGTGAAAGTTTCCATGGCCACAATTCTCACCTGACCCTGCTCAGCTTGCCCACCGCACGTGTGTGGGCAATACATTATTACTGACTGTATAGAGCGCTCCCCCCAGTGCTCTGGGCTGCACGGCTGCAGGACAGCAGAGGTTGGAGTGGTGGCAGTGCAGAAGACAGAAACTGAGACAGCTGCAGGGACAGAGAGGCCCGGAGGCAGAGACCAGCTAGCTGCATGCAGTGCCCTGAGGTGGATGGGATTCTAGTGCTTGACCTGCCACCGTGAGAGTAAAGTTGGGTATAAACCCTTTCACCCCAAGAATGTTCCACTGTCATTGTTTGGTCTTACCAAATGAAGAATAACTGGCAAGACATTGAGAAAAACGTTAAGAGAAATAAGTAAAATTAATTCTCATGGGGGATATTCTCTTATTTGAGCCTCCAAACAAGAATAGGACATTAAATGTATTCACATCAGTAATTATTCTGAAATGAGAAAAGTAAGATTGTATGAGTCAGCTAAGTTAACATTGTTGGAGGAAAAAAAGGACCACAGAACCAGAATTTAAACACAAATGCTATTTCTAAGGTTTGTATTGCCAGAGTGACAAGGGGTGTGCTCACCAGTCAGAGCCTGGGGACTATCTCCCCACCAACCCCCAGCTCCTTAACTCATCTAAATTCCAGGTTTTCTTGATACCTCAGTAAGACTGAGAATTCCTGTGAATATCCATTGGGAAGGAAATTCAGAATGGAGAGGAAGGCAAACCTTGCCATGTCGGAGATTTTCAAAAGCCTAAAAGGCACTGACTACATGCAGGATTCAGGATTGCCCATAACACACTAACACATTTAAAACCTACAAATCAAGGGAAATGAAACATTGTAGGCCTTTCCATGAGCCATAGTGTTTGTCCAGGCATGGGAAAGCTTTAAGGATTGTTTTCATAGTTCCAGTTTTTAACTTTTTGAATATGTGACCTGAATGTGTGTGTATATATATATATAACAGTGATTTATACAGGGCTGGCTTCTTCATGCACATCCTCTGTTGCTGCAGATGTTAACTTTCAGTCTCATGAAGAGCGAAAAACCTTAAACACTTACATGAACCTGAAGATATTCTGGTTTTTCTTTGTAAAATTGTCTCTGAATTACTAACTTAATGTTGTAATATAAGACATTTAAATTTTTCTAACTTGTAATTGGTGAAGAGAGGACCTTTATAGGAATTTGTCAAGAACATTGAAACTGAGTTTAAGATGTTACAGACATCATAAAGGTATTTTAAAGTGAATAACAATTTTAAATGTTTGCCAAATGTGAAGAAAATATCATTTTTACATTGTAGCATTTAATTATTACACATTAAGTGTCAAAAGGAGATCCCTATTTAAATATGAGAAGAAAAAATAAAGATTTTATGAGAGAACAATTACTCCTGCCGCAAACTATGGTAGGGTCATTTGGAATGGGGAGAAAATACCAGTTAGAGAACTCCATATGATGAAATGAAGAGAAAGTCATTTTTAGGTGACACGTCCTCCGTGACCTATAGCAGAGACTGTAGTATAAAGATCTGGAGATTAAAGATGCATTGGTTTGTGTTTGGTTTGGTTTTTTTTTTTTTGGTCATCATTGCTGCTTTTACCTTGACTTATTCTAAAACTCAAAGCTCTCCGAGATTTTCATGTTTTATTTTAAATTGGAAATTTGTGGAAGCCTAAAGCTGTTGAGACATATTAGCAATTTTACGGACATTAGAGTTTCAAAGTAATGTCACTGGGGTTCTTTTGACAAGATAATATTCCCATTTTTCAGTTTACTAAATAACAGCTCCGTGTCATAACCAACTAAATGCTCCCTATCATTGTATCTTTGGGGCACATTGGCCTTCTCAAAGTTTGTTCACAAATAACTACTTTACTCTTGAAGAGTATGCCAGTAGAGAGAGATTTTGAAGCTTACCTTAACTTATATTTAATACTCATCTGAAAATGAAACCACAGGAAAATTACTCACTTTTTGTATTATTTTAAATCCATCATAAAAAATAAAACATTGCATTTCAAAATCAATATTGTCAGTGTTGTTATCCTAAACTGTGAGGTTACCGTTAATTATGCCTTGTCTCCTCAGATAAATTTACAAAGAAAGATGAGAGTTACTGGTGTGATAACACAAGGAGCCAAGAGGATTGGAAGCCCAGAATATATAAAATCATACAAAATTGCCTATAGTAATGATGGAAAGACCTGGGCAATGTACAAAGTAAAAGGCACCAGTGAAGACATGGTAAGACTGACTTAACATAATTTAAAAGTAAAATCCTATTAGTAATTATTGATTACCACATGACTAGTGAGTCTTCAGCAAAAACTTTATGCTATTGAAAATAACTTGGTGATTTTTTAAAAAATTGGACTAGTTAGGTAAAGGGAATAAGGGGTTTTTCCAGGTTATAAATGTGCAGTGACTACTTCCCTAGATTTTACATTTACTCATATTTATTTGACTACTTTCACACTTTCTCATATGTTACTGTAGCCTTGTGTATGACAATTTTATTTTAACAATAATCAGCTTTCAATTTAATTTTATTGCTTTGACAGATTGTCTCTTCCTTATTCATATTTCATAGATCGTAACTATTGTTTTTAAAAAGTTATTATATTTAAAGAAAGGCACCAAGTGACAGAAAAGATGTATATCTGTGTATACTTCATATTGGAAAAAAATTTTGTTCTCCAATAGAATAAAATATTTTCAATGAAATTAATATGAGTGTCTCCTTTGCCTTTTCACATGACATTCTCATTTTTATTAATTTTTCCTCAAATTTTTAAATTTTAAAACTCTCAATACTTTGGTGCAGCCCATTTAAAACTGAGTCATAAGACTGTAATAAATTTTATGAAAAACATTTTAAATTATCTTATTAAATGAATTTAAATAAATGTTTTTGATTACTAGTTATATGAAAGGTATGAAATTTAGGGAATTAAAAATAACACATTTAAGCACTTAATTTTTGAAGGGAAGCAAAGTTGTTCACTGGAGATACATGAATTTAAAATTATGAATCTCTTATGCAGTGATCTGGGACTGACTGATAAGGAAGTAATGTTGAGGAATCAGACCCTAAAATATCGAAGTTCTGATCATAGCACTAGAGACAGTGAGTGATCAAGAAGCACGAGACAACACTGTTTCCTACAAAAAAAACCCCAGTAAATACTAAGTAGCAAAATGAACAGATAGGCCCAGTTTAAGTTGAAACTTTTAAGATGCCCATTTTTCAAAATAATTGAGAAGTACTCCCCTGGCTCTGAAGGACTGGCGTTAAAATCAACAAGACCATCGTAGTAGAGTATAGATTATACCACAGGCCACAGTGGTTTATAGCTTTAATTAGGATAGATTTTATATTTATTGCTGATGGTAAGGTGCTTGCTAAATGCTCCAGCCCCCACCCCCATACTATTTAATCCAACTATTGGAAGATTATGTTTGGAAGGATATAGGATCAATATATGAAATAAATAAAGAGGCTGTTGCAGTTAACACTTTTAGATTCTGTAATGTCTCTTTACACAGGTGTTCCGTGGAAATGTTGATAACAACACACCTTATGCTAACTCTTTCACACCACCCATTAAAGCTCAGTATGTAAGACTCTATCCCCAAGTTTGTCGAAGACATTGCACTTTGAGAATGGAACTTCTTGGATGTGAATTATCAGGTGAGTCTTTATATAATCTATATGTATTATGTTCTTTAAAGAGAATAAAAATCACATTTATATGTAGTATGTTACTAACTTGCAATTTTCAACACCCATAGACATTCATTTCTGCTGCAAAATGCATAGTTCAGTGAGAAACAGTATGTGTGTGTGTGTGTGTGTGTTTGTGTATAGAATGAACAAGTTCTAAAACATGCTACAAAATAGAATTAATGTAGAAGGAGCAATGTTATTTGAGTAGTCAAAGGAAATACAACAAATTCTCACTGGAAACTTTTGTCGAATTTAAATTGTGTCTCATTGTTTTTAGTAGTAACTATGATTTATGTTTAGTGACAAAATTCCAGTAAAAACTAGAATCTGCCTGACCTCATAAATTGCAGGTATATTTAGGCTATATGGCATAGAAATGTAAGCTTTATCTTTGTCCATCTACCATAAGAACTTGGGTTTTTTTTGTTTCTTTTTGTTTAGGTTTTATGAAACATGTAAATTTATCATTCCTCCCAAGGAGACAATACTTCAATACCAAATTGCTGCTATAAATTCATTCTTGGGTCATTCTTATCTAGCACTCTGCTTATTGTACAGTGGTTATCCAGCTCAAAGATAATCTATCAAAGGACTCAGGCTTAAATAATTCTTGTCTTCCAGGAGTATTAGTACCAGATATAAAGATGAAGAGTTAGACTGTGGATTTCACAGTCTTTCAATATAACTAGATTCTGAACCAAACAGAAAATCTTGTCTAGTATTTCACTGTGTTATATTTTTGGCAATTGTTCTTACATTTCTAGCATCAACTATTACAAGCTGTCTTTGCCATCATGGCCTGAAATTATTTTCTTCAAACCACTGTGTTGTGAAGACACTAAATATTCATGTGTGCTCCACTTTTAAGTATAACCTCCAAATATGAAAGAGTTTTATCAAACTTAGAATAATACTAAAGTATGCACTTTAACCTCTAATCTAACTTCTTGAAATGAATAAGAAGTTCTCAGTTGTCCCTTTGCAGGGATGTGTCCTCCTATTTTTAACTAAGTAGTAGTATTTTAAGAATCACATTTTCATATTATATGTGGACATTTTTATGAAACAGCCAACATACATCTCCAAATGGGGACGCTTTCCTTATTTTGGTATTTTGAACTGGCTTATTGGCTACCAGAAATCTCAGCAGAATTATTGCTGTCCAGAGTTTAAATCGCATGTCACTATATCATCACAGGCCAGTGTCATCCCAAAGTCATTCATCATAAAGCAATCAAGAGGAAGTCACAATATGATAAGGTTTGCGGCAGGCCTCAGTGTTTAGTTGCTTAACATCACCTTCCCCAATTTTTCAGTCATTTGATTCATGAGGGTCAGTCTCTCTTACACAGCAGGTACATCCCTAAGGTATGAATACATTGTACCTTCAAATTTTTGACAAGAAGTTACACCTGACATTTTACGGATTTTACATTCTCAGAACAAAGCCATACCCCATCCTCCAACCCAACAAATTGATTTTGAACTTGCATGCAGAGAATAATCTCTCTTGATGGATGCTTTTAAAAGCTAGATCACCTCACTCTAGGAATAACTAGTTGTGTTGTTAATTTTTCATTTTGTTCAGGTGCTGTCCACACTGGTCAAGGAGCTAATTAATTTATACATATGCCATCATATGGATGAGAAGGGAAATTTGCAGTGTGAGGCAAATTGGCAGAGAGGTTAGCTATAACACTTGGAAATAAACAGTAATATAATGTACTAAACTGTTTCCCACAATCCAGTGCAACACTGTAAAGCCCAACGCTGCCTTATTGTAGCCAATAAACTGTTATAAGGTCTCTCAGCCTGCCTTAAAGATCAGCAGTTAATCTTCTGCTAGGCACTTAAAAGGAAAATTCCCTATGTTCTCTGATAGAGATATGACTCAAGATGCTTAAAATGAAATGGATCATGACTATAATCAAGGGAGGAATCATCATTCATTCATTCTTTGAACAAATTATTCAGCACTTGCCTTGGGATAAGTACTAGACAACAGAGTGGGTATGAAATGAATTCTGTGACTATGCACAAATCATCAAAGTAAAGGCATCCCTTTTCCGTCCAATATTACAAAAGGAGAAAAACAACTCCCTTTCCTTTTCACTTGTATCTCTTCTGCAAACCAAGCAGTTTTACAAAGACTGCAGTAGCAAGATTGGGGCTAGGGGGTGGAGCAGAGGTAGTAATAGAAGAACAAGTTAGAAATCTGTAACACAATGCATGTTACCTTATAACTGACTGAAGAGAAATGGCATGTCATCAAGACTTTAGAACTTTCTAGAATCTTTGAGGTTTGTCATTACATTTTTCTCCTCCAGAATTTATATTTAGATTTAGAGCTATTGTGATCATAGGACTTACAGTATAGGGCTCCTGCCCCTGAAACCCAACAAGACTGTGTGAAGACACACAATTGGCTAGCCCTCCATGTCAGGTTTTGTCTTGTTTGGATAAAATAGGCATGTTCTAGAAGGTGGAGGTGAAAGCAAACATGGGGGAACCTTAAGAAGAAAGAAGTGATCTGGATTGACTAGGAGAGAAAGCCTTTAATTGTAGTTAGGGATTGTTTATCAATGAAGAGTTCTAAAACCCCTTTCTTAGAGCCTGCACTTAAAATAGCATAGTTTTAGCAACTGCAACCAGTCATAGTATATTCTGTAGCAATTGCTGATATGCTGATTTGGGGACTTAATGTTCTATCTGTTGGAATGAGCTTTATAGAAGTAATAAAAATAGCTGACATTTACTGAATGCTAGCTATGTGCTAGCATGTTTTTTATATTAACCAATTTCTTAGAATGTTTCTTATCACCATTTTACTGATGGGGAAACTGAGGCACAAAGTGGCTAAATAATGAGTGCAAAGCCACACAGCTAGTAAGTGGGGGAACAAGTGGAGTATGAGGAGAAGGCATTGATTGGAGCAGTCTCCTTTATATTCACTTTCTTGATTATCAAACTTACCGTGTCTGTTCCTTGGCTAAAATGTTACAGTTTTACCTATGGAAGACTCAACCACTGGCTAATATGATAATAGAATCATGCTTCCTGTTACAAGCTTTGTGAATTCACAGTTGAAATTCAAGATCAGAAAATTGTACATACATATACAGAACACACACACAATTTTTCAAGGACACACAAACCTAAATTTTGTACCATGTTAGATCTGAAAATATATGCAGTAGATTTGAGAATCTTCCAAAACTATTCAATACTAGAAGTTACTGAGTAAGATTGAAACATAAGAACTTATAACAAAAGCCTTCCCAGTAATTGTTTTTGCTAGTATTAACTAATTTTCTTCTGTTACCTTACTTGTTCATTAAATTCTACACTTGCACAATGCTTGGCATATGGTATACATTGGATCAATTTTGGCTCCCCTACCTCCAGAAAAGCTATGTGGTGCTTTATCAGTGATAATGATTAACAGACGTTTCTTGTAAAACAATGCTGTCCAGTTAGAATATACCTTTGGAGCAGTTTGTGAAAAAGACTTTGTATGGAGTGCATTTTCATTTGCAGTATTACGGAAACAAATAAAAGAAAAGAAAATATACTTTCTGAGAAATATTCCTTTTGTAAAACACAATGAAACTGTTGAAAACCAGGGAACAGGCATCAGGCTATCAGTAATGAGACAAGAGAGAGCATTTCAACATTGTTTTCATTTCACAGTACCATCTATCACAGAAAAGTAGTTTAAATTGTCTGTCTGGTTTTCAATTTTTCTAAAATGTATTCAGACAAAATTACCTGAATTGGCTATCTTGTTTTTCAATTTTGTTCCAGATTTATTTCTGATGATAGCCTTTTTTGAATTTAGATGCTCTCTCTTTGGGGCAGTGAATAGCATTATGCTTAATCTTCTCTCGCCTATCCAAAATGAACACAGAAAGCTTACAGAGTGATGAATTATTTTTCTCATGGAACCCTTCTCATTGTCTTTCAGGCTGTTCTGAGCCACTGGGGATGAAATCAGGACACATACAAGATCATCAGATCACTGCCTCCAGCGTCTTCAGAACTCTCAACATGGACATGTTCACATGGGAACCGAGGAAAGCGCGGCTGGACAAGCAGGGCAAAGTGAATGCTTGGACCTCCGGCCACAATGACCAGTCACAATGGTTACAGGTAATGTTTACAAAAACTGCCTCATCAGCCATTGCTCCTCTTCCTTACAAGATTTCCTATTGGTTAGGTGAATCTCAGAATTATTACCTTCATACAAACTTAAATGTGCCTTTCTCTTTGGCTTGACTAAATTGGTAAAACAAAATTTCTTATGAAGCCATGTCTGTGTGCTGTTTGTACTCTGAGGTTGATTTACAGATGCGACTGTCAGACTGATGCAGCAGATCGTACCAGATCACCCTATGGGCCAGTTCAATTGATTATGAGAGCATTTGCATTTTAGCTCCCATCTCTTGTAATGCTTCGTGTTACAGCAGAAATCCTAACTGCCTTGATATTCTGCCGCTGGCCTGCAGATTGTTCACATAGAATCATGACTCATGACTTGCTAGCTCCTTACCTGTGGTTGCTAAGCGATGGAGCGATTTGATTACATTCTTGTAAGAGCTTTTAGAAGGAAAGCTTAGACACTGCAGTCTGTTTATCACTTGCAAATGAAGTAAGGTTACAGGCAGGCCTTTTTAAAAACGATCTTCTTGAAATGCACTTATTTGTGAAGTATTTTAAAATAGACACAAATTTGTTAATGTCTTTTGTGGCAAAGAAAAGTTAGACAGCTTAATTCCATAATGAGGTCATTTTATTTGAAAGAAAGTTCTCCTCTTACTGATTTTTATGCAGTATCAAAACTGCATGTGAGTTTCAAAACTGTGGTAACTCTATTTGTGGAAGCCATGAAAACAGTTATAATAGCACATGTCACTCCTCATCAAACCAAATGAAACATCTGGCCATATCTGAAACTATTCTCACTAAATCATCTGAAATTTCCTAAAGTCTCAATGTTTTCTTCATTTACTCTCACTTTTCTCTATTCTCAGTTAAAAATATACATATTTTTCATTACTTTCTTTTAGCATTCTATCTGGATCTTCACTGATCTGAAGCTCTTTCCATTATCTACCCCACATTATGGATAGTTCGTACGTCTTTCTCCTTGTACTACTCTATGAGCTGTTTAAAGATACAGAAAAACGAAATGTAAAATGTATTTATCATCCCAGAACTCAGCTGGATGTCTTTGTTCTACCCATAGCAGTAGCTACTAAATTAAATCATTCATTTACCAGATGTTTATTTGTGGTACATAACACAACTAATAGTGATGACACACTGGTCATGATCTTAAGATTATTACCTTTTTTCATAAACCAGGCCTTTTAGTGGGTTTGCATCCATCCTTCTAACTGCCGTGGCTCAGTGTCCTCCAGGCCACCTTTCCTCTGCCTGTCAATTTTCTGCCAACCTCACTTTCACCAGCTCCACCCACTCACATTAACCAATTTAGCAAGTATTGGTTATTTCAACGACTGACAAAAGGATTCATCTACACTAAAATAATTTCATTTCTCACTATTCCCATTGCCACGTCTGTGATCTAGACTAACACCCTCTTCCACCTGGGTTTTTGCAGAAGCCTCCTAACCAACTTTCCTGTTTCTGGATTCACCCTCTAAGAATGTTTCCCAAATTGTAACCAGTGCGGTTTCTTTTTCTAAATGCAAATATGAGTCTCTTACTCCTTTTTTTAAACAATTCAATTGCTCCCTATCATCCTCAGAATAAAGTACAGATTCCTTAATATAAGCTGAAAAGCCTTTGCATGATTTGGCTCCATTTCATCTCTTACCACACTCCTCTAAATTTGCTTCAGTTTCTCAGACCAAATAACATTCCCTTATAAATATCTTCTTCCTAGAAGAAAAGAATGGAAAACACACTCCTACCCACAGAAACTCCAACCTTCTGCTATTTAAAACTTTCAGCCACAATTTGGATGCGCTTTCCTCTGGGAAGGCTTTGCTACCAGTTCCATCCCACCCCAAATCTGGCTGAAGTTCTCTCCTGGATACTACTGTGTCCTCTGTAATTCTCTCACTGTCACTTTGTCACACTGTATTGGGAATTGTGCTAGATTGTTTACTCCAAGAGGCTTGAAACCATATCTATCTTTCTGACTTTCTCTAGTTTTATAGTACCTAACTGAATACCTCTCACAAGACCTGACTCATGGTAGATATTCAATAAATAATCTGTTGAATGAATGAATGGATGGATGGATGAATGACTAGTTCAAAGTATATTTCAAGTTATTGGTTTGGGCTATTCAGTGTATGGTTTTGATTCCCAATTTAAGAGGCCAACTGCCATTATTCTCAAATTTTAAAGTAATGTTTGAAAAAGAATTCCAAAATCTCTAATTAAGGATCAGCCTTTATATTACAGAAAGTAAATTTTTACAATACACAGGTTTTATGAAGATTTCAAATTCTTAATTTGAGGAAATCATAGAAAAACTCCATTCCATTTGTTAGACTTGAATGGTAAAGTTAAACTGTTCTTTGTTGCTGTATGATATAAATATTAATATTTTTAAATATTGAAACTATTCCAGTTACAGCTCAGATTAACTGGGCTTAGCTAATATTACTGTGGGTCATAAAGCCATATGGACTAAGACAAAATATTTTACACCCCATAAGTAATTCAGACCAGTAAGCTGGTAAACTCTAGGAATACCCAAAGGGACTGTCAATGGCAAATTTCTTTAGAAAGAAAAATAAAACATTTTGACATGAATCAGGATGTAATCTTCAATACAAACCTCCATCCATCACTTCTTTTAAGATGACTTCAACTGTCTTAGAGTCACTTGCATGTTGAAATCGATTCATTCTGTTGGTGACATATTTTCTGTCAATTCAAGGACCAGCTCTTACAGTGTATGTCTATTTTTTGTGGTGTCAAAACATACTCAGAATCTCCCAGGCAAGGTAAATCGACATCTTCACTTATACTTACTTTTTATTTTTTTGACATCATCTGAGAAAATGCTCTAGTTGTGACTATTTCTTAAGTTTTCTCCTCAAAGAATATAATGTGATCAACCATAAATTCTTATACTTGTTAGTATCTTTGTTAAATGCGAGATGAACATTTTTATAGATAATGAATGGATAGGGTGATTTTGTTTTCTAATTGTTGATATAAAGTAATTTGTATCCTTATTTGAGGCTTCTGAATTTATAAATTTGTGTTTCTAACAAAAATGGATCTATCCTGAGAAGTAGCTCTTCAGAAGAGAAATCATGTCTGTCACTCAAATGCCTTTCCTTCACTATCAATCTCCTGCTAATTAATTTTTAAAGGAAGTTATTTTACGGACCTACTATTTTATGTAACCCTCTAATTATGAGAATTCTTTCTTCAGTTTAATAGGTTAAAAAAAAAGAAAACTATCTAGATAACAACTAGAAACACCATTGTTGTAAATGAAAACAAACAAAAAAATACTTTTTTATAGTTGTTTTTTATTTTAAGGAATTCATATGTATTCCCATATCACTTTAACATTTTGTTTTTTAGTATTGCTCTAATGTTTCTTTCAGTCTCTTGTTTAAGGTCAAAATCTCAAGCTTCTCAAACATATCTTCCTGTGTGTTATTTTCTAGACATGATCTTGCCTAACTGATTAGCCTCTTTGAGCTTCTCTTAATCACAAAATCATTATGGTATTCCTATATAAACATGGCAAAATGTGCTACGTCTACAGACAGTCCTAAATGAGAGGCATTTCTCAGACTTCTGAAAAATGTTGTTCATCATTTTGATGTTTGATGTTCTCTAAAACTTTGAGCAAGAAGCCATACCAATGTGTTTTCCAAAAGCCTCTGAAGGTTAAATTGCAGTTTCTACCTTTCAAAAAATCTTGCCTACACCTAAATTGAAAGATCGTAAGCCAATGATTCTTGACGCATAATTAGACATTCCTAAAACATGGTTGGGCTAGATTTCAATACCTATTATAAAAATATAGTGACATTTAACTCACTGAGCTCTTTTAGGGTAATCATGTTATCATCCATGGTTAGTTTCTAAATAAGGATCTATAAATTTTGTTGGATTTTAAGGTAGATTAAATAAGACAAATTACAGAACATAGAAAGCATGTAGTAGGTACTCAGCAGTGGGTACACTTTTTTCTCTGGTGGCTTGTGTAGCCTCAAGAGAGCATCATGTGACACCACCAATTATAACCAAGAATGAAGATTTACATATATATTCTTTGCTTCTTCCAAAAAGGAATTTATAATAAAGCTATGAAATATAAAGCAATATATTATTAGATCAGTTGCACACTATGAGCAATGTTGATAAATTACATTAATTTGCATTGGCAATCAAAAAAAATTAAATTTTTTGTTTAGGTAGCCCAGATTTTTCATATCTTTACCTGGGAGTAATAATATTAATAACTTAAAATTAATATTATGTCATTTGGCAATGTTCTCCACTGAAATTATATGTTTAGCAGAATGTTTATGCATTTCTATGTCCATTTTCAATGGCATGTCCACAGATTAAATAAATTCCCTTCTTATTTATGCTCTGATTATACAAATTGATTAAAATTCAGCCTGAAATTGAGATGTTTAATGACATTCTATCAGGTATAAGAACATTAGTGATGGTAATCTTATAAATTGAGAAGAAATATTTTCCTACAGTAGATGCAACTAAATAAGAAACACACTAACAATTAAGTTAGATTGATTAAAAATGTTTTTTTAATAAGACATCACAAATTCTCTTATAGTGAATACTCTGTGCTTATATTCATGGCCTCTTTGGTGGCAACCATAGAAAATGGATAATTCACCATGCATAGTTGAATCTACTGAAAAGTTTTCAGGTTTCATAAAGGGGAGCATAATATAAATGACCAACAGGAGAGAAATGTCACATTCCTACCTAGAAAATGACCTTTTGGTCTATTTCACGAGACATTTACTAATTGAAGGTAGTCTGTGTAGTATTTCGACCAAATTAGTAGAATTAGTAGAGTTGTTAGGCTGCACATTTTAGTGTTCACCTTTGTCAAAACTGCAGCTAACCCTCCACAGCTTCGTTTCAATACTAATTTTGTGGAAATGTGTAAG